TATCAACATTATTTTCAATATGCTTTTTTTTGCAGGAAATGTTTAAAGCCATGCGTCCTTTTTAAATAATGAGGAGTATTTTATTTTAAAATGATGATATATTCTGGAAACTCACTTAAATACGGCCTGGTGAACTGAAAAACACTTGGGCATGAACTTGTATGGGCAGTACTGTCAACCTCATTACAACGTGCAGTTCTTAGGTCTCCCTCAGAGGCCTCACCTAGGGTCAGAGGCCTGCGACCATCTGGCATAAGAACAGATGAGACGACTGTCAATCAATGTCTTAAATACTTTTTTCTTATGTCATTAGATTTAAAAAGTTCTAGTTACCCACCTTGAAACCATTTCTATTAGCTTATTAAAGGGTGGACAATTTATTAGTTGTAATAATTGTAAATGATTGAAATGTGTAGCTCAAAAACCTACTGTTTTTCTTATGTGCATCTGATGATAATTTATGGCATCTCTTCAAAACTTCATATTCTTACCTGTGAAATGTTTATGTTTTATTAATATGAGCTACCTTGTATAGTGATTTTGAAAATGAAATGGTATTATACATGTAATTTATCCACACATTCTAAACTGCTAACGTTTCAATAATTCTGATTTTGATGATATGAGAAAAGGATTAGAATTAGTAAGTAGAGTTGACTTTAGGTATTTTTGTCTCAGAGATGAAGGAAATCTATTTGGTTGGAATTGGGAAAGTCGACTGGCAGTTAGACAAGGAAAAAAAAGTTGTGAAATCTTCATCACGATCTTATGCTACGTGTGAAGACAGAAGTGACTCTATCTTGGATGGAAATCTACCATGTTGACTTACGATTTGTCTCAGTCCTGTGAATGACTCCCGATTCCTATTTTATTTACTTTACTCAGTATAAGAACAAAGCAACCTTGTTATTATCACACAAATTATGGACCATTTGATGCATATAGAGTTGCCTTTAATTGTCTTGCTGGAGTACATATCCCCTTTCAGTGGGGGGTATATAAGCTCTGGATTTGGAGAGTAATGGTGCTGAGCTCTACTCATCTTGTGGCTGCCCAAGACCACACGTCCATTTGTAAGGTCCTCCTAATAAAGCCCCCTCTGCCTACAAACTGGATTGGTTTTCCTCTTCTGGTTTCTTGGCTCCTTCAGCATTTGGAGTCTGCTTGACATATACGACACTTTCACGGAACACTGTGTACATACTGTTGGAAAGTTTAATTTGAAAATTGCTCCCTATTTGGGTGGAAATTGATGAGGAAGAAAGAGAAAAAGTAAGAAAAGTCTGATAAACATAAATTCTATGCAGTAAACCTGGAGATTATTATGGCCCTTCTCACAATGGGGGTCTGGGGAAGGTAGATCCATGCAGAGGAGGCCAGCTGGTAAGACCCATAAACACATTTTGCCAAGGCGACTAAACACGTTGTTCTCATTGTCCTTAGAAGTCGTACCTGGCTTGGCGGCAAGATGCAAGACTTGGATGTCAAAGCTCTGATTTGAGATTCTAGAGCTATGGCTACCAGCTATAAAAAATGTGACCATTTTCCTATCCTCCAGTAATAAAATTTGTTTTATTGAACTCAGAAGGTTATTGTAAGGATAAAATGATGCATATGAAAAAATTGTTCAAGCATGTACATTTCTGAGCAAATTTCAGTTGTTACTGCTAATGATGGTGATTGCAAGTCATTAGCAATTGAAATATAAGTGCCCCTAAACCCTAATAGTAAAGAAAAATATTTAAAAGATGAAATTCACTATTGAGTAATTTTTACAGGTCAGTCTACTGCATTTCCTTATGATTTTTGTTTCTTGAGTGACATGTTCTTGATGAACAATCTCTCCTAATTTAAAATAACAGGCCAGGCTCAGTGGCTCAGCTTGTAATCCCAGCACTTTGGGAGACTGAGGAGAGTGGATTGCCTGAGTCCACGGGTTTGAGACCAGCCCAGGCAATTTGTCGAGACTTCATCTCTACAATAAAAGTAAAAAATCAGCTGGGTGTGGTAGTGTGTGCCTTGTAGTCCCAGCTACTTGGAAGGCTGTGGCGGAAGGATCGCCGGAGCCCAGCAGATTTACACTGGGGTGGCCGTGAACATGCCGCTGCACTCCAGCCTGGACTACAGAGTGAGACTCCAACTCAAAAAAAACAAAACAAAACAAAACAATAAAATTCCTTTTAAGAACTAACAATCCAAGGTGGAACCAGAAATCTGTTTTCTTTCTGCTTTCTAACGTTTATAAAGATTATGTATGGGTTTATTTTATAACTTTTATGATTACTCCTGAAATGTGTTTTTTTTTGTTTGTTTTTCTTTGGAGGAATAGTAAAGCATATTTTTCTCAGTTTGAAACTATTACACTTTTTGTGAAAAAGATGGAGAAAACTTGGTCAGATTTAGAGCTGATAGGGCCCTGTGGTGCAGTGCTGCTTTAGTTTATATTTAATTTTCTTCACTGTGAAATTCAAGTTCCAATATTACATCATATTAAAAAGAATGCCTTAGTTTGTATGGTATTCAATGACTGTTTTTAAAAAGGAACTCTTTGGATTGGCTGCAAGAGTATATATATATAAAGAGATAAGTTAATCAAATATTTTCCCACACTCTGCCACTTAGCATGCTAAATTGTGTACTTTGTCTTCTTCTAAGGGAAAACACACAGATTCATAGACACATTTTTCTTGCCATAGAGACATCCAACAAGACAGCTCTGAATAGTGTGATTAACTTAAAATAATGGTGGCCCTTAGGGTTTTAGGCTTTTCTACTTCATAATATTTTAGGTCTGTTATTACCTTAGGTGAGCTCTATTCCCAAGAAAGATGATGTTGAATTAATTCTTCTGTGACTTATGTCATCAATATAGCTAGGATAGAAATAAAACTATGTGTCTCTACCTTTTATGAGATTCTAGGTAGCTATTTTTTTTAAAAACTCATTTCGCAAAAACTGCTGAATTTTCTATGCTCTGATAATGATTGTGGACCCTTTAGACATAAATCTTTACACACAGACAAATGAGATTAAACGTGTATGCACACGTATGCACACAAATTAATTTATGGTGGCAAATTTCAGAATACTATTTTATTGGATTTTTCCTGCTACAAGACATAATACAATAAGAAATTCCTTCAAAGTAAATGTTTCTTTTCCTTACTGCCTTCAAGCACACCATGCGGTAAATGAGCATTTCTCAATTTCTAGTTTTCAGGAAACGTGGCACATGTTACCTTACTCATTCCTTACCAAGATTGCACCACTCATGTTTTTTCAGAAAATTTATATCTAAAAAAAAATCACCAAAATTCCTGTTTTTTTTTTTTTTCAGTTTGAGCAAAAATACACTTCAGAAATAACTGCTCAGAAGTCTTTGAACAGTAACCCCAAATACATGTAAAGGACACTATAGTCTAGTTAATAATGGTTTTATATAAGATGAATTTAATTGGAATACAATTGTTGAATAACTAATAAATAATTTTTTCAAGCTATATCACTTTGTGAGTTTTAAAAATATACTGTTTTCTTAAAGCATGCTATTTTACTTTTGTGTTAAGAAGGCAATGGACCAATTATTTCTTTGTTCTTATTTTCTCTGGGATTTTATTAAAATCTACTTAAAAAATAAATTTCTGAAAATGATTCAAAGCAGATGTGCCCATAAAATAAAAACTTTTTTTTTTTTAAAGTCGAGATCTCACTGTTTTGTGCAGGCTGGAGTGCAGTGGCATGACCATGGTTCACCACAGCCTTGACCTCCTGGGCTCAGGAGACCCTTCCACCTCAGCCTTCCAAGTAGCTGGGACTACAGGTGTGCACCACTACACACAGCTACTTTTTAAATTTTTTAGTAAGGGCAAGGTCTCTCTATGTTGCCTAGGTTGGTCTTGAACTCCTGGACTCAAGCAATCTTTCCACCTCAACCTCCCAAAGTGCTGGAATTACAGGTGTGAACCAGCATGCCTGACTGAACCACAATGGGTAAAAATAAAATAATTCAAACAAGAGAACCACTTAAACATACAACCATAAAAAGTTACACCTTAAGTAGTAACAATTGACTATAGTAGTGATTGCCCTGACAGACAAAAATTGTTAAATAATAAAATCAGTAAAATCATGAAAATAGTGAAATGTTCTAGTGGAAAAATTAGAGAAACAATGAGAAGGAAGTTTAATATATAATCAAGAGTAGTCAGTCCCGAACAACTACCTAACCTGGCATTTTTCAAGAAGTGTTATGAAGGAACACAAATATACTGTGATATATTATGTTATAATTTATTAATGTGTGTTTTCACCGGGAGTTTTATAATCAAAGAATCTGAAAAATTATGCATATTATATTCCCCTCTTGAGAGGCACAATATATCTAAAGTTTCTGATAAGTCTTACATTAATTGAAACTATGCCAATGTTTTTTCATTGTGATAAAATACACATAACATGAATTTAAAGTGGGGTTAAGTACGTTTGCAATACTAGAAAGTGTGCAATCATCGTACTATCTAGTTCCAATTGTATAGCTTTTTAGTTGTAGATTTGACTGTGAATCAGTTCCCTTCTGGAATATGTTTAATTTGTGTATGAGAATACATTCATAAAAAACTAGTCAAATCCAATACTCTCATTTTAAAAATAAAAAAATGTGATTTTGAGAAATCAAAAGACTTGCTTGGTATCACACAGGTAGTTGAAACAGAGCCAGTATCTCATCCAGATTTCCTATGTCCAAGAACAGGGCCCATTTCATTGCAAAGTATTTTTCCCTTTTCTCCATTTATGTTGCCAGATCTAATGATTCAGTAATCTGCAAACAATACATTAAAGTTTTACCTACAAGAATTCAGGATTAAAACAAGTCTCTCTAATCTTTAAAAAGGAATATTACTTTTAAAAGGTACACAATACTTGATTTGTAACTCTCTCATTGTGATTTTCTGATGAGGAATTTTATTTCAAGAATTCTAATGTACACAATTCTGTTTTAGGCCTTTTTAAGATCGTGGCTGATAAAACTCCATACTCTACAATGGAAGAAATTACAAGGACCATTCATATCGGACCAAGTAGACTAGGGCATCCTTGTTTCTATCGTCAGAAGGATATAAAACTAGAGAATCTCATCATAAAGCAGGGTGAGAAAATCATGCTCAACTCAGTTGAAGAAATTGATGGAGAAATAATGGTGAACTGCGGAGTAGTAAGGAATCATCAAAATCACTCCTTTACTTTGCCATTGTCAAAAGAAGGAGAATTCTATGAATGTGAAGATGAGCATATTTATACTCTAAAGGAAATTGTGGAATGGAAGATTCCCAAGAACAGAACACGAACTGTGAAGCTTACAGATTTTTCACATAAGTGGGATTCAACAAATCCATTCCCTAAAGACTTTTGTGGTATGCTGATTCTCAAGCCTGTTTATGAAATTCAGGGTGTGATGAAATGTGAGTATCCACTTTGGGTTTATTTAGGGGTCCAGCCCCTTTTGCCAGGTCGTGAGATCTCCTGAAGGAGAGATGGATAGGCGAAAGACGGACACAATATTCCCGGACACCTGCTTCCTGAACAGATGACATCCTTTATTAGTTAACAGAAAGCTTTTATAGCATTTGTAAAAGGGGCAAGACAAAGAAAATTCCTTCACGTACATATGTTTTAAAAGTTACCACCATCTGGTGGTCTTTAGAAGAAACGAATAAGCCAAAAACACTATCTACTTTCAGTTAATGAGTCTTGAGATAAGTGTAAAAGGAGTTTCACTTAAACTAAACATAATGCATACAAGGTTTACTTTGACTTCGGTTCCACATCACTTGTCTAATTAAAAAAGCCTTAAAATCACTAATACAAAACTATAGATTGTACCTAGTGATAGTAGGAATATGAAGCCCATTAACTTGACCAAACAACAGTGGCTAGCATTAAAAGAATAACTACGAAAGTCACTTACTGTGAAAATACATACACTAATCTTTACTCTGAATAAACATATGAAGTGAACTAAACATAATGAAATAAAACTAACACAACTAAAATTATTATGGTTGCATAATTGCCAATGAGCTTTTAAGTTTAGGATAATGGTGATTTGGCTGTTTTCCCTTATGCTTGGCAACCTCCTGGAAAACATCTTTGTCTTAAGATAGGCAGTGGAGCAATTATTATTATCTTTGAGGCACCAATTTTATCATTGTGTGAACTTAAACTTATGAACTTAAAACAATCTTCAAAGTAGCTATAGCACTAAAACTTAATTAATGACACAAAGTAAAAACCTTGTTAAACATAACCAGAGCCTAATAATTTTTGTCAACCCTCATACATATGATATTGATTATATAAACTTGTATGATATTACATTTACCAATTATGATTAATACATGGATAAAACAATTATCATGTCTAGAATAGCACTGCCAGCAACTTTCTTCAAAAGAGTCCCAAATTACAGTCCTTGAAGTGCTTCAAGAAAGTTCCCAGGTGCACGGTTCCTTCATGTAGCAGTTCTTCTCTTTTTGGGCTTTTACGACCTTCAAAGCTTTTGTAATCGCCCTTCTTGTCCAGGTGTCTTCATTACTTTTCTCTTATCCCACAGTGTTTATTTCTAAAGAAAACTCAAAAGAAGTTTTAATGACATTTCCCAGGCCCTCAAGGTTGCTTTCTGTATTTAGTTAATTATCATAAAAGTATCTAATTAGTATATTATGGATTCAGTGAAAACCCACTCTATAAACGTTTACTTAAAATTTAACTATAGAATTAAGTAAAAACCTCAACGATTAATCTTTTATCCTGTCTGTGAAGACAGTGTTATAAATCACCTACATAACTCCTAGATAAGTGTTAGAACTTGTAATGAGCTCATAATGAACTTACCATAAACTTGTGCTTCTAAAAAACCTTATGTCCGAACACTAAGCTGCATAATTCTAAATCAAATAAGGAGTGAATATACTTATATCATTTTTTATTCAAGCAATATCTAGTAACTTATAACCAAGTAAAAGAAAGCATTCTTGATGTGCTTCAGAGTTTAACCCTTGCATATGTTAGAAAAGGCCAAGAGGCATAGTGGGAAAATGGGAAAATGAACCATGACATTCTCAGGTTAGGTGTGAGTACTTCGCATAAACATGCCATTTTCTTCTTCCACGACTGCACAGAATTTCTTCAGCCGTATCAAACAGCAAAGGTGGAAGACAGAAGGGCCTCAGCTTCCCGGGCTCACCCTGCGGCCCGGGGTCTTCGGCCCACCGGGACCCTGTCAATCATGTGGACCTCCAAGGCTGGCTCCCAACAGGTTTAGGTTTGGGAAAGAGAAGGGTTTTAGAGCATGAAGAGTGGGATGCTGACCTTATTTTATCTAAATTAAGTCTCTGAGAATTAGATTCCTCATCGATCAATAAGGAAACTACATGTCTATTGCAATGATCAAATTGAATAATGTCTATACAGGGAAGTTGTAACTTGTATGGTGCCACCCAAATGTAAGGCGTTGTAACTGTTGGGTGTAGACAGATTAAAATACTAACTAAGTTTTATTACTGCTAGTTAAACATGGTTAGAAAAGTGTTGCTTTTTAGAATAGAACATATTCGATTAGAATGAGGGCTTCTAGTATGGAGGTGGTCAACAAAAGTGGGAAGGACGCAAAGTTTTCTTAATGTGCCCCTTTCTCCTATTTCTGTGACAGCCTTTTTATTTTCAGCCATCCATCACTGTTTATAAATGTTTACTAGCTCAGAGCCCTTCTGTCTTAAAGGAAAATGATATGATAAATTAATTCAGATACACATGTATTTTAAAAACGCTTCGTAGAATTATCTTGGTTTTAAAATAGGAATATCTGGAGAGAGCATTGTTGCTGTGAATGTATTAGTCCCTTGAATTTTCAAGATTAAGGCACATAAGTAGGGCAAATGGTAGAGCAAAAAGTTCTCAACTTGGAGTTTTGGATTCTAGTTCTGGACCAATATCTTAGTTGGTGGTTTTTGGTGAGCCATTTACACTTCCTTTGTTTATATAAAAGAAATTCTGTTACCATTTTGCCTACCTCTTGAAGTTGTTTTGAGAGAGAAATTAAGGTGCTATCAAGGTACTGTTATATTATACACTTGAGAACAAAAAAGCAGTATGTAAAAATATTTGGTCAAAAAGTACCCCCTTAGGTATCTCAAAATCTATCTATTTCTGCTCCTATTAATAATGTTGGTCACTTAAACAATTGTGGAAAAATTGTGTGGCTCTTTTGGCAGGTTGTTGAATTATGTATTAAATTCGGTCACACAGAGATATTTAATCAGAAAATTGATCTAGTCGTTTTGAACTAAAGGTATAGGTAAGAAACTCCACTTAACATTACAACAAATTGAGGCCATGGCAAATTTTAGACCTCACGTTAAATGTTCTGTTAGGTATCCCAAAATGGGCAAATGAAAATAGGCACTTGTGTTTTCTTTGATTTCTATAAATAATAGATAGAAATTTCTCATTTTAAAATTTGTTACTTTCTAAAACTTTTGGTATCTCCTATCTATCACACAGTTGCAAATGAGAGCAGACCCAGAACCTATGTGGGTGGACAAGGATGTTGCAGCATTTAGTAAATTAGGACAGGGACAAAGAAAAACTCCTCTGAGGAAATGGCATTTAAACTGAGACTTGAAGGATGCATAGGAGATGGGCAAAAAAAAAAAAAAAAAAAAAAAGAGGGAACAGGGTTGGAGGAAGCAGGAGTAGTATGTGAGAGAGCAAGTAAGAAGAAAGAGATGAAAGGCTGGGCTTGGTGGCTCAGCCTGTCATCCCAGCAATTTGGGAGCCCGAAGTGAGTGGATTGCCTGAGCCCGTGGGTTCGAGACCAACCCGGGCAACTTGGGGAGACCTCATCTCTACCATCAATCAAAAATTATCCGGGCGTGGTGGCATGCGTCTGTAGTGACCGCTCCTTGGAAGGCTGAGGCAGAAGGATCACTGGAGCCTGGTGGGTCGAGGCTGCGGTGGCCGTGAGTATGCCTCAGCACTCTAGCGTGGCGACTGAGTGACTCCAACTCAAAAAAACAAAAAAAAACCATAAATCAAATAAAGAGAGATGAGAGTTCTGGTGTGGCTGGTGTGAAAACAAAAGGTGAGGGCAGGATGCGACAACTGTGAAGACATGCAAAGGAGAAGGGAAATCAATCATGGAGGGTCTTCAACTATATGCCAAGAGGTTGAAATGTGTTCTTAGGGCAAATCAATAAAGGGCTTTCTGCTGGGAGAGAGGAGGACAGAGGAGTGCAGTAAGCCCAACTGGGTTCATTTATACAAAGAATCTCAGTTCAGCTTACTGAGAATTTGAGAAGTACAGTCAGCAGAATCTATTGAAAGGTTGATTATAAAGAAGTCAGCATTATTCCCAGTTTTTGGCTTTATCTACTGGATAGAGATCAGTCTATTAAATGTAAACATCAGAAGAGCAGGGGATATTAACAGAATTGGTAGGTTTAACTATGGTTTTCTGCTAACCAAGTTCTCAGAAGAAAGTCTTTGGTTGACATATCCTTCACTAAATGTGTTAGTCCAATTCTCATTGTTTAATGATATTGAAATTAAATTTTCGTTTTAATTATTCTGGATCTTTAACTTCTTAGGAATTATTTTTAAACATTAGTTCTTATTGTATAGCAATTTCAGGACATGCTGTATGAGACTGGCTTACATATATACTGACTGGAGAATATTCCCTAGAAATAGAGGATGAGTGTCCATTGCAAATATCTGATATTTAAAATTTTTGTTGTTGTAGGTATTTTCCCCCATACATATAAGATGTAGACTTGAATTTTGTTGTTTTGTTTTACATTATTCTTTCTTAAACCGAAGATCAAAACTTGCCTTGAAGTTGAGAGACATTGCTAATTTGCTTTCCACAGGCCTAGAGAGTCAGGTACGGTATAAACCCTTTTTGGCTCTAACCCTTCCTTTCTAAAGTGACAAGAAAAAAAGAATAGGTCTGAGCAGCAAACGGGGAGTTTTACAGAAACGTTAGGGGAAAGAACAAGATGAAAAAGACTGAGAACTCTAGGAAGCTATGAATTACTGATTTGCTGAAAAGAGAACATAGCAAATAAGTTGAGAGAATATAAGATATTCTACTCTTACTACTAGTTTTTAATATATTGTTAATGTGAAATTTTAGGTTCCATAAAAAATAAAAGTAGCAAAGAGTGTTTAAATGGAGTATTTGCTCCTAGAAACTCTTGGGCACAATTCTTGTTATAGAACTGAACCTCACTCATGCTCACCACACATTTAATGATTTGGGGAAAAAAAATTATTCCTCTTTGAAAAATAGAATATAAATAATAGTCCAAACCTCTAACTACTACTTTTAATGTAAGTAATTTTATGATGTGTTTGTGTCTTTCACAAGAAGATAAAATTCATATTATTGTAGTAAATGGAA